GCTGGTGCACTGGGAAGACCCAGAGGGATGGGATGGGGAGGGAGGCGGGAGGGGGGATCGGGATGGGGAAAACATGTAAATCCATGGCCGATTCATGTCAATGTATGGCAAAAGCCACTACAATATTGTAATTAGCCTCCAACTAATAAAAATAAATGGAAAAAATTCACTAAAAATAATTACTATTTCCTGGGTGTGCATATAAGTCAGGCAATTGAAGTAAGCAGCTTACATGCACTACCTGAGGTAACCCTCACCATAAGCCTTTAAGTATCCTTATTCTAAACACAGAAAGTCAGACCTTAGAAAAAATTAAATTTGGGACTATAAATAGTAGAGCAAATAATCAGGCAAGTTTATTCCCAAGTCTGGGTTCTTAAACATGAGGCTTCCTATTGTCTTCCTATATGATTCAAGGTAATTTTAACCAAGGTCCAAAGTTAGCTACCAGTCTTCTGATCCCTAACACAAATGATCTTACATTATACAGACTGGATATATTACTTTAAGTGAATTGCATTTTCTGGTTCATCCTTTCCTGGTAAAAAGTAAGAACCTGGTAGCTACTAGCAATAACAAGTGCATTTATGGTCTTCTGGTTAGGCCACTTCTTAGTTTTGTTGCAGTTTCACTGCAACAGTTATTGGCTTTTTATTTATCCTGAAGCAAACTTCTGCCTTAACAGAACCACGATTTTTCTTAGAGAGCAACTGATCCCAGCCCTATTGTTGTTGCTTAGTTGCTTAGTCTTGCCCAACTCTTTGCAACCACATGGACTGTAGCCACACCAGGCCCTTCTTTCCCAGGGCTTAATTCACCTCTCCTTCTATGGAATTTAACACCTAAACTAAGGGACAAAGAGACTGAAAACTACTGCATACCTTCACAGTGGATTGTTCCTCCCGAGAAACCTCTGTGATACTTTAGTCTCTTCTCTCCTAAACTGACTTAGTTTCTACCTGTGAATCTCCAATTACTCTTTGACTTCGTTGTTATTCAGTTGCTCAGTTGTGTCTGACTCTTTGTAACCCCATGGACTGAAGCACACCAGGATTCCCTGTCCTTCACTATCTCTCAGAGTTTGCTCAAACTCATGTCCACTGTGTCAGTGATGCCATTCAACCAACTCATCCTCTGTCGTCCCCTTCTCCTCCTGCCTTCAATCTTTCCCAGCATCAATGTCTTTTCTGATGAATCAGCTCTTCGCATCAGGTGGCCAAAGTATCGGAGGTTCAGCTTCAGCATCAGTCCCTCCAATGAATATTTAGGAATGATCTCCTTTAGGATTGACAGGTTGACCTCCTTGAAGTCCAAGGGACTCTCAAGAGTTTTCTCCAACACCACAGTTCAAAAGCATCAATTCTTCGGTGTTCAGTCTTCTTTATGGTCCAACTGTCACATTCACATATAACTACCGGAAAAACCATAGCTTTGACTAGATGGACCTTTGCAAAAAGGCCCCGCCTTTTAAAAAGCCAACCAAAGTTGGCAAAACCTTTTTTCCAAAGAACAAAAGGCCTAAAAATTCAAGGCCGCAGTCACCATCTACAGTGATTATGGAGCCCCAAAAAATAAAAGTCTCTGTTTTATTTTTATTTTACTTATACTGTCTCCCCATCTATTTGCCATGGAGTGATGGAACTGGATACCATGATCTTAAGTTTTTGGAATGTTGAGTTTTAAACCAGCCTTTTCACTCTCCTCTTTCACCTTCATCAAGAGGCTCTTTAGTTCCTTTTCTTTCTGCCATAAGGGTGTGTCATCAGCATATCTGAGGTTACTGACATTTCTCTCAGCAATCTTGATTCCAGCTTGTGATTCATCCAGCCCAGCATTTTGCCTAATGTACTCTGCATATAAGTTAAATAAGCAGGGTGATAATATACAGCCTTGACATAATCCTTTCCCAATCTTGAACCAGTCTGTTGTTTCATGTCCAGTTCTATCTGTTGCATCCTGACTTTCTGAGATCTCAATATTCTTCCAGGAAATCCCCTTTAGTTTAAGTTAGCCAGGGTCATTCTATATGTTTAATTAAAATAGTAACTAATAGAAGTAGTAATCTAATATTCCTTTAATATTGGAAGGAAGCATTAAAGGAAAAATACACAGGAGATGGAAAATGTTATTTCCTTTGAAAAATCTAATAAAATAACTGTTTTCCCTGCCCGAACATTTCTGTCTAATCAAACCCAGTTCATTTAGTTAATGTCTGAGTGCAAACACTGTACTTAGCCTTAGCTAAACAATGATTTGTAAATAGCCTTTGTTCTGAGGTTTTTGAGTCTTCCCTAGACCCACACTGATCCCTAATTAAGAACTAAGAATGCTCATATATTAGGCAACTGCTTACCCAAAGAAAATGTTAGTGAGTCATCTAATAGAATCAGACTAAAAAGACTGTACCCTTACGAGCTTTACAGAAATGAAGATGGAAAATCCATGGCAAGAAATATTTATATGTTAAGATTAGATAAGGTAAAAGCAAAATGAAAAAAGATCATCCCCAAAAAGTTATCATCAGACTCATCATTTATTTTGTGTATGAAACAATACTTAAGGTACTCCAATTCTATATGGAAAATATACAGCATTAAACAACAATGACATGTTGAGAAAAATAATTACTGCTCAATTTTCTTCTAATATTTTTTTTTTCATATCAAGAAGAAAGTTTCAGTTTGGGTGGTTATATGTCTGTAACATCTCATGAACATTTTCTAGCTTTCTCTTTAATAAAAAGTGGACCTGGATTTGCTGGGTTTTGTGAACCAATACTATGCAGCTCAAATAATGCTTCCACCAGTGATTTTCAAACATTTTGAACTTAAAATTGCTTCATGTCCTTTAAAATTGTTTAGGACCCTGAATAGTTTATAATTATGTGAATTATAAGTATCAATTCTTAATATATTAATTAAACCTAAGAAAATTTTAAATACCATTTGCTTTTTAAAATTATAATAAATCCGCTACAGATTAAATAGCTTTTTGTGAAAAATACATTGTCAAAAAGAAAATCAACAAAGGTAAAAAACGGCACAGATTTAGATTCTTTTTCAAACCCTGTTAATGTCTGGCTTAAATGGATAGAACTAGATAGAAAATAAAAAGAGTGAAATAAGAAAAATAGAAAACTGCTAGATTTTCGCATCTGCTTCAGCCTTCAATCATTTGCTATGTGTTGTCTGGTTGAAGGCTATGAAGAAAATCCAGGTACAGTAGATATGAGCATGGAAAATGGAGGTACATTTTAATAGCTTTTTCGATATTGGTGTTTATGTTTTTTTGATAGAACACCAAAACTCAACAAGAGGTAGTTATGACTCTTAGGAGTTAGCTGCACTGTGGAATCTGAAACTATATCAATGAACTTCTTGTGTCCTATACACTTATAAGAGAATGTATTATTTTGAAAATAGTTTCAATCTTGCAGATACCTGAACAGGTCTCAGAGGACCCTCCCACCCTCTAAGGTTCCCTGGATCACTTGTCTAGAACCACTGGCTTAGGCTGTACTTTTTCAGTTAGTTATTTAAGCCAAGGAATGTTTTAAAGAAATACATGAAATAGTTGAGGGAAGGCAGTTATAGGAAAAAAAAAAAAAGGAAAAAAATTTGGAGAACAAACCAGTGCATTCCTACACACCTACCTCTAATGCATTAAATAGGAGGAATCTACGGAGTGCTTCCTTAGCTCTTCTCCTGGCTGGCTGCTTCTAACAGTGAGTTCTCGGCTCTGCATGCCAGCTCTTCAGAGAGGAGGTCCCCAACTCAGTTAAAGAGCCTTTATTATGATTTTTCCAAATCGGTCTCATTACACAGTTGGAATGTTATAATAAATACCATGACTGTTGCCATTAAATAACTTTACTTCTATAACAATGGAATGTATCAAGTGGGAGTTACTTACAACAATATAAAATATCACTAATTGAACTATGTAATTCCTTTTCTATTTGATAAGGCATTAAAGGAAGTAGAAAAATAAGTGATAGTTATTCATAACCTGGTACAATGTAAGCTCCTGGTTTACTCAACCAAAAGTTTGATCACAGATTTGGACAGATATCATGTTATTAGAGAAAAAATTCAAACAAAGCAAATGATGGACTGTACAATCAATCATGATCATTAGATATTGTGGGACACCACTTTATTCTCCTAGGTCAGTATTATCATATGTAAAGTGAAAAATGTCATTTAAGTGTCCGTATTTGTATCAAATCTGAAACTTAAGTAATTCTCTAATAACATTCTATATTAAGAATAGGTTCAAAAAACTATTCAGGTGAAACCTTAAACCTCTGAATCACTTAGAATTATTTACAGATGAATTCATTTTGGAAAAGTTTTTTTTTGTAAAACAGCAAATCTATCCATTTACTAATTCAAATTTTTGTAAAGTTAAAATCATATATAGTTAAGATATTAAACATACTCTCCAGCATTATAACGGGATCATATTTATGACATATTTTTTTTTCCTTTGCTGCACAGGTATCAGTTTTCCATTTTATCAAGAAATCGGTAACATTTCGCATCGTTTATTTAGTGTCATGCAAAATGAATGCTAGACATTTCTAATGGGGACTCTAACAACGACTGAACCATACGAAGTTGTCAGTTTTACCGGTTCAAAAGAGATGGAAACTTCATAAGGTACAACCGACGGTGGCAAGTTAAAAGTCAACAGCAAAAAAGTGCTGTTAAAAGAACTTCTCTTCTTTTTACCTTTTATAAAATAAATCACCCTTACGATCATTCTGCATTACTATTAACTTAAATATTGCTATAGAGGTTCGGTGCTAATTTATAATTTAACATGAAGGGGAGGTAGCAGGGACTTGGTGGTCTGAACACTCCCAAAGGTACCACAGGCTTTCAAGATCGTCCTTGTCACAATCTCACTCAGCAGGCACCTTGACTTGGGGGTGGGAGGAGGTCGGCAGATAGCGCGTCTCAGGCCTGCCGGGGAGGCTCGCGGAGGCTTCGCCTCACCTGACAGTCCTGACGACGAAGTACACCAGCACCGCGCCGCTCACCACCATCAGCACGGTCAGGGCCCGCTGGGTCATGGGCTTGTCGCCGGGGTCAGGGCTCACGGCCAGGACGCCGCCCGCCGGGCCCCCGGCTCCCGCCTTCCCGCCGGGGTCGTCAGCGGCCGGCCCCGCCCCGGGCGTGCTGCCATTGCCACCCTCGGCNGCGCGTTCCGTGACGTCAGGTGCGCGAGGCCGTCTGCGACCCGCGCACTTCCGGAAGGCGAGAGGAGAGAGCCTGCGGTTGGCTCCCTAGAAGGAAAGCAAGCCGGAGGAGAGTTGTGTTGTGTGCAGCGGCGCTTGCAGCAAGTGAGCAGGAAGAATCCGGGAGAGAGTGGAAGTTCGTAATTTGAGTTTGTTAGTGCAAAACTGAAGAAACACAGCCAATCATTTATTAAAGACCGCCTTGACGTTTCCCTCAGCTCAGGTACATATTTTACTAGACTGGGTTGTTAGGTCACTAGAAAGAAAGTAAACAATTGTGTCAAGTGTGCGGCAACCCTTCAGGAAGAAACCAGGAGAGATTGGAAGCTCATCATTTGAGTTCGTTGGTGCAAAGCTGAAGAAACGCAGCCAATCATTTATTAAAGACCGCCTTGACGTTTCCCTCAGCTCAGGTACACATTTTATTAGACAGGTATTGTTTTCCTGCCTCTAGGTCCTTGACCTCCCTTTCCTTAGAGCATTGCGTTAGAGAACTGGTAACTACCACTAATTGGTACAGGTATTAGTAACTGGTAATTGATTCTCTTCATTTTGGGAATATAAATCTTTTTAAAAGTTCTTTCCCGTGTTACAACCCAGGGCTGTCTGTCTTCCGGAACTAGGAGTCATCCTTTTAAAATGTCAGGAAAGGAGACATCACCCATAGCTCCCAGTCTCCTAGGGAGCGTAGAAGCCTAAGTTAGGCAGGCGCTTTGTGTCAAGTTGTAAAACTGCCTCCCGTCACGCAGCTTAGAGAAAAGTTACTTTTTCTTTGTGAAGGCTTCCCTAGTAGCTCAGATGGTAAAGCATCCGCCTGCAGTGCAGGAGACCCGGATTCGACCCCTGCATAGGGAAAATCCCTTGAAGAAAGAAATGGCAACCCACTCAAGTATCCTTGCCAGGAAAATCCCATGGATAGAGAAGCCTGGCGGACTACAGTACATGGGGTCACAAAGAGTCTGAATTTCCTTTGGGTAAACAACTGGCCTAAGAGTTTTCCTATTCTTAAAATATCTTAAGCTTTCTGTTGAGTTGAGTTCAAACAGAGTCCTGGCCCCTCTTTTCTGTTGTGATCGTCTTGAATAAGTCTCTGCCTGTTTAACTTTGACATCAGTAATGTGGAACTTTGGGGTGAGCAGATATAAACAAAAACAACAGACCAGAAATTGAAGTTAGTGTCTGTTCTTTTAAAAACTTACTCATTCAACAAATTTTTTAGACTTTCTACTCCTTCAGAACTGTATTTAAGTATTGAACAGTAGACGAGATATCATCCTTGTTCTCACAGCCCTTAGGGTCAAATGGAAATCACACAATAGTCTCATTCATTCTTATTTTGAAGTGCATGTTATAAATGACAAGCAAAGAGTCTATAGTAAAAATTGTGTAAAGAACTATTGTAGGTAAGGTGGTCAGTATAGTGTCTTCTAGCTGCTTGTGGCTAATAGACTCATGCGGTTACTCCTGTCATGTAGAGTTGCAGGGACTAAGCATCTTAATGCTGGGTTCCACTGTGAGGAAGACCATTGGTGACACACACTAACTTTAGTTTCCAACCTGGACATTCATCAGTAATGAAGTGGCTCCTTGGGTTTCTTCTCTCCCTTATCCCCAATCTTATTCAGAACCGTACATGGAAGATTAGTATTTAATGTTACTCCTTCCCACTCCTCAAAAAAATCCAATATCCAACACACCAAAAAACAAAACAAAACAAAAGCACCATCTTTCCTTCCTTACAGTGTCTTGTTTTACCATTGTGTTCCTCATCTTGATTAATGGCATTATTCTTTACTCAGGTGTTCGGATGTGAAGTCTTGGAGTCATCATTTATCCTTATCTTTCCACCTGCAACAGTGCTTACTGGTTATGGCAATATACTAAATAATTCTGAAATAGCAGAGTTAAACTGATGATTCCAAATGATTAGAGCATTCTAATCATTCTAGTGTTTCTGCAGCTAGGTACTTGAATCAGAATCAGAAATGGAATTTATTAAAAATGTTGGTTCTAGGTCACTATTCCAAAATTCTTAACCAGGATTTTGGGGATTGGGAACATGGATTCTGTATGCATTTTTACTAAGCTCTCAGGGTAATTTTTATTTGCACTAACATTTAAGAATCTCTTCATTCCCTCACCACCTGTATCCAAATGTTATCAACTTTTCCCCATTTCCCTAATGTCTGCATCATTAATCAACTCTTTTCTGTTCCCTGCTTCTGACAAAGAATTATTTTTAAATTAGTTGAGATCTTAAGCAGGCAGAGGAGCTGCAAATTATTGTGATTTTTGCATAATACCATATTATTTGTAAACTGTCATGAAACAGTATTTTCAATTCCATTACAGGAACTAGGAACCAGTTTCCTGGGAGAAAATATTGTATTTTGCTTGTATAATATAAAATGACAATTGGGGGCACACATGCCTATTTAAAAGACAGAATGCCCAACTAATTGGTGTTTCTGAATTTTTTCTAATACTAATAATGCTACTTGTTCATTTACATGTTTTTGTCTTGCAAACAAGTTGTATCAATCAGGAGAGATTTAAAAACATAAAAGATTGGTTGGATGCATGAGACAAGTGCTCGGGCCTGGTGCACTGGGAAGACCCAGAGGGATCGGGTGGAGAGGGAGGTGGGAGGGGGGACCGGGATGGGGAACACATGTAAATCCATGGCTGATTCATGTCAATGTTTGACAAAACCCACTACAATATTGTAAAGTAATTAGCCTCCAACTAATAAAAAAAAATAAAAAATAAAAAAAAATAAAAACATAAAAGAGAAGAAAAGTTATACTTACTGAAATTAACCTGCATACTAGGAAAAGACCCCCATTATTCGGATTTATCAGGGAACACCCTGATAAATCTGACAGAAGAGCAGTCTTCCATGGAAATGTGTAAAATGCCACTGGCTTATTTAGTAAAATCTAATCCTCCTTGGTCCCGTATTGAATAATAATATTGCATACTAATTAAGTATCTGTTGTGTACCAGATCTCATGTTATGAAATGCTAAGCAGTTCTCTTTGTTTATTCCTTACCAGAAAAAAAAAAAACCCTAAGCCATTATTATTCCTAATTTACAATTAAGAAACCACAATAAAGGATAATCAAATTGGTGAAAATCAGCGTGAGTAAAAGCAATAGAGCTGGGCACTAAACTCAGGCACTGTAGCTGCAGAGGTCAATATTGCCTACTACATTTTGTCTTCTCCTAATTGTAGGCTTCCATGATTTGAGTCTAGCTTTTTGTCTCAATCAGCTATTGTTAGAATAATGCTGCATAACTACTATCCAAAAATATCTCAGTGGCATACAGCAAATAGGCATTTTTTTCCCACATGTTTTTGGTCAAGATGAGAGTTACAAATTTAAGTTGGCCTTATGGATAAGTAGAAAGGGTGTGGGGAATAGGCATAAAGAGAAATGAGCAGGCATGTATGTGTTTTTTTTTTTTTTAAAAACAGAGACTGGTTACCCAAACTCCCACCCGATGGCCTTGACACATATCTTATTGGAGAGAGAGATGTCACATGGATGCTTCTAGCTTCTGGTAATCTGAGAATTTTGGTATTAAAATGGGCATATTCTACTCCCTATAGAAATTTATGTAAGGAAAAAGAAGACAATTCATATTGATAGGGATTTCACTTATATTAATACGTATGTGTGAAAGTTGCTCAGTTGTGTCTGACTCGCTGCAACTCCATGAACTGCAGTCTGCCAGATTTCTCTGTCCATGGAATTCTCCAGGCAAGAATACTGGAATGGGTTGCTGTTCCCTTCTCCAGGGGATCTTCCCAACCCAGGGATTGAACCCAGGTCTCCCACATTGCAGGCAGATTCTTTACTGTCTGAGTCATTTATATTGATAGGCATGTCAATTTTAGCTCAGTGTAGTAGAGAACAAGGATCAAATAAGTGTTCTCTGGTGTCAAAATTTCCTTGCTTGTCCATTAAGGAAGAGGGAATGTAGCAGGTTGTCTCAACTGTAATGGTCATTCATAGTAACATCTGATAGAAGGAGTCTCTTATACTTTTAAATGGCAGGATACTGCCACATCAGGTGGATTGTATATACCCTGAGGTCCAAAAGGAAAAAGTTCAATAGTCAGGAAAAGGGAATATGAACTGATCACAAAACCAGGAAGTGAAGAGAATGTACTAAAAATCCTGAAGGTGAAGGAAGAGTTGGAATTTCAGAGGACAACTAAAGAACAGCATTTCATGAATAAGAAGGAACAGTGTTGTTGGACTAGGCACTGCATAACTGAGTAGGAATCTGAATAAATGTTAAGGTTAAAAATCTAAAACACACAAACAAACAAACACCAACCATATAAATCGGCTGTGGTTCCTGAGCGGATAGAAACAAGGTGAGTATCTCTGGAGCTCTGCCTGTGGAAAATTTCCCAGCTATAGTGCATGAACCTGGAGTTCAGTCAGAATACAGGAGTCTCTCTTATCTGAAGAGGCAGAGATCAGAGTTCTGGGCTTTTAATGGTTGGGGTCTGTGGGCCAAGGCGTTAAGAAAGTCTGGAGGTCATGAAGTTCATATGGAGGTTCCCCACACATCCTTGGCTGAGAGCTGGACAGAACTGCCGGGCATGGCCACACGAAGTTAATAAGAAACTTGCTGTTACAGAGGTGAGAGCAGAACAGAGACATTAGATATTCAGCGGTGCTGGGGACTTTGGAATTAGGGCCCAGACATACTGAACAGATCTCTTTAACACCTCCTAACAAAGTGGAAATCAAATGGAATCACTGCTTTATGATAAAGTCCACACCCAGAGAAAGGCCCTCTTTATACCCACTTTAACAAAGCTTGGAAACCAAGCCCTAACAAGATTCTTAGAGGAGAAAGAGTTTGAGATTGGATCTCACCAGTAGCTTCCCAGTAGCGCTAGTGGTAAATAATCTGTCTGTTAATGCAGCAGACAAAGAGACGCGGGTTTGATTCCTAGGTTGGGAAGATCCTCTAGAGTAGGAAATGGCAATCCATTCCAGTATTCTTTCCTGGAAAATTCCATGAACAGAGGAGCCTGGCAGGCTGAAGTCCATGGAGTCACAGAGTCGAACATGACTGAGCACACGGCACACAGTTTACAGGGACTTGCAAATAGATAAACAGAAATTGTACAGTCTCAAAAAAAGATATATAGAAAGATTCAAGAAAAGAACAAAACACTTTGAACTTACATGACAGTATTATACAGTTTAATATATATGCACTGGAGCTCGAAAAGAAAAAGCAATATAATGAGATAATAAAATATTTCGGTAAATGATTGAAAAACTTTGATTTACAGTTCCAAGAACATCAGAAAGTAGTAAGCAAGATAAATACCAAGAACAGCACATATAAGCATATCAGAGTCATACAGAGTCACAGATATCAGAGTCCAAATTAGAACATCTAGAAATGAGCCATAGAAAAAGATGCATTACACACCAAAGAAAAATAACACATATGAAGGTATAGTTCTCATCTGAAACAATGGACACCAGAAACAGTAGCATCTTTCAGGTACTAAAAGAAAAAGTTATCAGCCTTGAATTCTATATCCAGTTAAGTTATCTTTTTTAAAAAAAAGAGTCAAAACAAAGATGTTTTCAGGGAAGTGAAAGCTGAGGAAACTCATTTCCAACAGACTAAACCTCAGGATGTTTTTCAGGCTGAATGGAAGTGATACAAGACAGAAATTTTGATTTACAGAAAGTAGGGAATGGCAAGCAGAAGTGGAAAATCACTGTGTAAATACAAAAACCTATTTTTATTTCTCCCGAAGTTTCTTAAAAAGAATGCAGTGCTTTGCACAAGGCCATGTTTATGATGCGTGTACATATAAAAACATGGCAGTAGAACGTAAAGGTAAAGGACAAGGGAGGTGAAGTGAATGGAAATATACTCTTCCCGTTTGTGAAGTTTGATATGGGACTTGTGAAGTTTGAAATGTCAGGTGTGAAAAGGGATTCATGAAGTAGGAAGCTCCTAAGGTTAGAAGTGGGATGTTTATAAACAGAATCATGCTCTCCTAAGGCTGTTACATTTGTGAAAGTATGAGGTGGGAAATGTTAGGTGTGAAATGGAGCTTATGAAGTAGGAACTACTAAGGGTATGAGTGAAAATTGAAGTGACCCAATACTGTTGCTAACTAGGCATTGTAACAATAGTAATACAGAGAAATATTCTTAGAGCAACCAGCAAAAATAATGAATAGAAGTTATATATATATAAAAAATATAAATAGCACCAAATAAAAATTTATCTTTGTCATTTATTTCTTACAGTAGATCATGAAAATGGCATTTTTTAAAAATAATAAATGTGATACATTGATACCACTGAGGTTCAGAAACTTATAAAGACAAAATAATTCTACCATCCTAAGAGCGTCATTTCAATATTCCAATATTGTATATGTGCCTGTGTGTGTATATATGTATTCAGTTCAGTTTAGTCTCTCAGTTGTGTCCAACTCTTTGTGACCCCATGGACTGCAGCCTGCCAGGCTTCCCTATTCATCACCAAGTCCTGGAGCTTGCTCAAACTCATGTCCGTCGAGTCGGTGATGCCATCCAACCATCTCATCCTCTGTCATCCCCTTCTCCTGCCTTCAATCTTCGCTTATATATTTAGAACAATGCTTGCATGCTCAGTTGCTCAGTCATGTCAGACCCTTTTCTACCCTATGGACTGTAGCCTGCCAGGCTTCTCTGTTCATGGAGTTTTCCAGGCAAGAATACTGGAGCATGTTGCCATTTCCTATTCCAGGGGATCTTCCTAACCCAAGGATCAAACCTGTTTCCTGTATTGGCAGCTGGATTATTTACTACTGAACCACCTTGGAAGCCCAATCAGAACAATAGACTATATATAATTTATATTCTATTTTTATATTTATATCATAAATGATATTTTATTTGTCACAAAGGTATCTGTAAACATGAATTTTAATGATTTCTTTTATGTATTTACTATATTGGACAGTTTCCCTGTAGCTGGAACACTGTTATTACAAATGTTGTAATAACATTTGTTATGTCCGACTCTTTGTGAGATGACCCCATGGACTGCAGCATGCCAGGCTTCCCTGTCCCTCACTATCTTCCAGATTTTTCTATTGAGTTAGTGATGCTTTCTAACCATCTCATCCTCTGCTGCCTCCTTCTCCTCCTGCCCTCAATTTTTCTCACCAGTAGTGTCTTTTCCAATGAGTCGGCTCTTTGTGTCAGATGACCAAAGTATTGGAACTTCAACATCAGTCCTTCCAATGAATATTCAGGACTGATTGATTTCCTTTAGGATTGACTGGTTTGATCTCCTTGCAATTCAAGGGACTCTCAAGAGTCTTCTCCAGCACAATTCAAAAGCATTAGTTCTTTGGTGCTCAGCCTTCTTTGTGGTCCAAATACCACATCCATCCATGACTCCAGGAAAAACCATAGCTTTGACTGTACAGACCTTTGTCGGCAAAGTGACGTCTCTGCTTTTTAATGCACTGTCTAGATTTATAGTTTTCCTTCCAAGGAACAAACTTCTTTGTATTTCATGGTTTCAGTCACCATATGCAGTGATTTTGGAGCCCAAGAAAGTAAAATCTGTCACTCCTTCAACTTTTTCCCCTTCTATTTATCATGAAGTGATGGGACCAGACGCCATGATCTTCGTTTTTTAATGTTGTTTCAAATGAGCTTTTTCACTTTTCTCTTTGACCCTCATCGACAGGCTCTTTAGTTCCTCTTCACTTTCTGCCATTAGACTGGTATCATCTGTGTATCTGTATTTATTAAAAATACCACTGAGGTATTATTTTGGTTAAATATTTTCTACATCTTTGCCCATGAATTATTTCTTAAGGGAATGTGTGTTGATGCTTTCATTTTAGGGCATTAGGTATACAGACTCTCTCTGCCTTGAGGGTTAAAAAAAATATTTTGTTGTGTCACTTGTTTAAAAAGTCAAATTGGATAGAGCTGAGGCAGTTCCAAATGATGAATGGTTTCCCTGACTGTAGCTGAGCACCCAACCCAATGAATAATATTAATAGCTGTGGAAAGTAAACCCGGTACTGTGATCTAAATACAGGTTAAGAACACAGGAGGGCGATGTTTGAGACCAGAGCATTACTGTGAAGTAAGGCTATAATACCTTTGTCTCCCATTCTTTGCATCATCACTTGTGAGATGGTTAGGCCTCAGAGAGGAGGGTTATACTTGTTCACATTTCATCCTATAACCATGATCTTCGTTTTTTAATGTTGTTTCAAATGAGCTTTTTCACTTTTCTCTTTGACCCTCATCGACAGGCTCTTTAGTTCCTCTTCACTTTCTGCCATTAGAGTGGTATCATCTGTGTATCTGTATTTAATAAAAATACCACTTAGGTATTATTTTGATTAAATATTTTCTACATCTTTGCCCATGAATTATTTCTTAAGGGAATGTGTGTTGATGCTTTCATTTTAAGGCATTAGGTATACAGACTCTCTCTGCTTTGAGGGTTAAAAAAAATATTTTCTTGTATCACTTGTTTAAAAAGTCAAATTG